GCAAAACCCCTGCTGGCACCACAGCAGGTAGAGAAAGAAGTACTTTTCTCCCAATACAAGAACTCATGGGCACTCAATGAAATTGCTGAGCAGTCGGGTTAGAACAGATAAAAGGAAGTTCTTCTTCACCCAAAGAGTGATTAACACATGCAATTCACTGCCACAGGAGGTGGCGGCGGCTACAAGCATGGACGGCTTCAAGAGGGAATTAGATAAACATATGGAGCAGAGGTCCATCAGTGGCTATTAGCCAGAAGGTATAGATAGGAACTCTCTGTCTGGGGCAAGTAATGCTCTGTATTCTTGGTGCTTGGGCGGGGGGACAACAGTGGGAGGGCTTCTAGTGTCCTGGCCCCACTGCTGGACCTCCTGATGGCACCTGGTATTTTTGGCCACTGTGTGACAGAGTGTTGGACTAGATGGGCCATTGGCCTGATCCAACATTTGCTTCTCTTATGTTCTTATTTCAAGATTAGGGCCCTCAAATGTATGAAATACAAAACATATCTGAGTTCTGCTAATCCCCTTTGTGTGTTATAACTGTAATAGTCTTCGGCCTTATACAATAAATGCTATGCTGTGCTATCTGAAGTCTATCTGCTATTTTGCTTTCATGTTAGCTGCTTCCAGACATGAGTGGGATTTTTTTTCTTGGAAACCACATTTGTGGCTAAGTTATTTTAAAAAGCTGGAGAATCATGGGTTGAATCCAACCAGCTTTTCTCCTGAGGAAAGGAGTCTCCATTGCCTACTCCCCCCCCAAAAAAAAGAGGTTGGGGGATTATATACAAAAGGAAACTAGGCGGGAAAATTCTTAGAGATTTGGGGGTGATGCCTGTGAAGGGGAGGGGATAATGCCACAGAGTCCACCCTCCAAAGAAGCCATGTTCTCCAGGGGAATTGATCTCTAGTCTGAAAATCAGTAACAATTCCAGGATATCCCCAGGCCCCACCTGGAAGTTGACACCCCCTGGTAGTGAGGAGGGAAATGTGATTAGATTGAATGAAAAAGTTGGCTGGACCCAGCCCAATGGATCTCCTGCTGCAAAAGTCATTTGGTTGGTGCTAACCATCTTTTTTGGATATGAAAAAGGAAGCAAGGGTCCCCTTTAATGACCCCAAAAGATTATGCTGTGTGCATTACAGATTGTGGTTGGGTAAATGTCAAGGGCACCTAAGTGCCTAAAACATCATTAATGAAGAGTTACATATTCTTCTTGCATTGCTACTTGCATTTTAAAGAGAAGAAATACATTTTGGTTCACTTTAAAATCACAAATAGCATAGCATGCACACACAGTTTAATTTCAAACTGACAACAATACATGTCTTCATCGCGTATTGGTGTTAAGGAACTATGTTAAGTAGAAGCAAAAAAGTACTGGGTTTTCACTGCTAAGTGACAAATTACCCATTGTCATGTTTCAGACACCAATTCTTAACAAACCCAAATGTGAAATTGCTGAATTCTAAACAACAACAAATGCAACACCATCATGACTGAACACTAAACATCCATAAAGGTTTTATATTATGTGCTGTAATGGTTTGTGCTGGACTAAGATCAGGGAGATCCAGGTTCAGATCTTCACTCTGCTATGGAAACTCATTGCCTGACTTCTGGTGAGTCAATTGCTTTCAGCCTAACCTACCTGAAAGGGTTGGTGTGATGGCAAAACAGAAGAGAGAGAATTGTGTTCCAAGCTGCTTTGGGTCCACACTGGGGGGAAAAGCATGGTATAAATATCTAAATAAATTAATACAGTTTATATAATTATATGTGAGAAGCTGAATTTAGAACTCGGAACACTGCTCTAGTCACTTCAATCACAAGAAGGAAGTTATGTACTACTAGGAAAAGTAAAGAAAAGAGAAATCAAATGTCTAGGGAGCTGGAGCATTCAAAAATACAAAAGCAATGAATGCTTTTGAAGTACAGGAAACAAGATGACTAAAGGGGAAATGATACAAGTTTATCGAATTATAAACGGTAGGAAGACAGAGAATAGAGAGAGTTCTCTCTTTCTCTAGAGCAGAACTCACAGTCACCTGATGAAACTGAATGGCTTTGTGTTTTGCTGACATATCACTGCACACACCTCAACAAAGAAAGAAAAAAAATGCTGTTAAGTTGCCTCCACGCCTGAGTGGAGATGAATGGGGAGTTTCAGTTTACTTCCAACAATTAGAAAAGATGCCTTTACACATTTATTTCCTATTTTGACATATTTATTGCTTTGCTGTCCTTTCCCCTTAATTAAATCAAAACAACTGTTGACTTTATAACCTTAGCTTGTTATTTCGTTTTGTCTTTGCATATCTTAAAACATCTTCATCATGTTACATGTTAATTTGCTGTTCAGCCTCTGTCTATAAGTTTGAACTCTACCTTCCATTCCAATGTATTTGAAAAAGTGTGTATGAACACGAAAGCTCATACCTTGAATAAACCTTTGTTGGTCTTAAAGGTGCCACTGGACTCTTAAAAAGGAAGTACTGTTTCACAGAGTGCCTGTTTAACTTTCAGAATTCACTGCCCCAGTAGATCACAATGTGTGGCTTTCAAAAAGACCTAGGCAAGTTCAGTATGGACACAGCTCCACGTTCAGAGGCACTGTACCTCTGATAGATAGATAGATAGATAGATAGATAGATAGATAGATAGATAGATAGATAGATAGATAGATAGATGACTGACAGACAGACAGATAGATAGATAGATAGATAGAAACATATAATGGGGAACTGGTGGACCTCCTGATGGCACTGGTATTTCTGGCCACTGTGTGATACGGAGTGTTGGACTGGATGGGCCTTTGGCCTCATCCAACATTGGCATCTCTTATGTTCTTATGTTCTTATGGAATGTCTTTTACCCCAGCTTGTGGACAGACACTGCTGGAAACAGGATGCTGGAGTAGACAGTTTCTCAATCTAGTAGGGCCTTTTCTTATGGTGTCTAAACTTTCTTCCAGAACTGTAGCTATGTTAGTTGGTGACAACAAAGTCCCTTTTCTTTACTATTTCATTTTATTTCCACTTTTCGTCCATGAGCCTGAAGACAGCATTCTCTTCTCATCCCTGTCTTCCTCAAAGCAACTCTGAGAGGCAGGGCCGACCCCAGCTTTTTTTGCAGACTAGGCGAGGGTACCTTCTGCCCCCCCCCCGGTGCTCCCACGAATTTTCAAACATAAATGCATTTTAGGATCCATCTTGAAAATGCCAATAGATGCATGCTGTGTACAACTGTCTGGGCACATCTGTTCCCCACCAAACATCTCAAAAGCTTCATGTCTTAATTCTGAGAAGCCTGAAGGAACAGAAATCTTTTCTTCTGCCTCTAAATAAAGCTTGACGTGCTCTCTGGGAGATAACCTTGCAGAGCATCTCTGCCGTTAGAAGCTGCCTAAGCTGTGTCTGCAGAAGATGGCACACTAAACACTTGAATGGGAGACCTCCTTGGAATACCAGCAGTCAGGAGGTGGGGGCAGCCTTTATTGAGCCACCTCTCTGAATATCCTCCAGACCCCCAGTAGGGGTCAGTCACCAGAGGTCACGATAACTTCCAGGGGTCAGTCACCAAAGGTCACCATAACTGTGTCATCCAGACAGGCAAAGGGGTGCTGTAGCATCATAGCAGCCACCCCAATAGGTGAGCATCGCCCGAGGAAGGTCTCTCCTTCTTGTCTGAGCCTTTACTCTGCTCCAGGTGGAGTGAGTGGCACGGAGGGGGGGGGGTTAAAAGCCGAGCAGAAATTTTGCTGCCGCCTGTCTCTCCCCCCCCCCCGGCTCCTCCTTGCCCTCAGGATGGAAGTAGAGGCCGGCCGACATGGTAAGGGATCCCAGGCTGCGGCTGCCTGCAGACAAGCCCCCCCTGGCGGAGCCCGGCTTGCCCCAGCCCACTCTCCCCACCAGACAGCCAGGATTCATGCCCCCTGCCTGGCTGCTGCCGCCTCCTGCAAAGGCCAGCCCGGGGCGGCACAGAGAAGCCCGGACTCCTGCCCAGTTGGGGCTGAGGACTCCGCCAGCCACCTCTCTCCCGCAGTGCTGAGCCTGGATGCCTTCCCACGGAGGGAGGGAGGAAGCGCGCTGGGGCTGCCCGCCCGGGGGGACACCAGCGCTCCCGGCGGCGGGGATGGGGGAGGTGGGGGGAAGGCGGCAGGCAACCTCCCCCAGGAGCCGCCCTAGGCAAAAATCTAATTTGCCTAGTGGGTGGACCGGCCCTGCTGAGAGGGTATGATTGGCCCAGAGTTATCCAACAACCTTCATGGAATAGTGAGGACTTCAACCCAGATCCTCATCCAATAGTCTAACCACTGCACATGCTAGCTCTTAAACATGAACATAGAGTACCCATCATTTTTCCAAAGCGGGAGTCAAAACTGTTTGGAAGTGGCAATTTGCACAGGAGGATGAAGAAAGCTGAAATCTGTAAACGGCACATGACACATGAAACTTCCTTATACTGAAGCAGATCCTTGGTCCATCAAAAAAAAGGGGGAGGGGACAACATGAGCCAGTTTGGTGTAGTGGTTAAGTGGTTAAGTGTGTGTGGACCCTAATCTTGGAGAACCGAGTTTGATCCCCCACTCCTCCACTTGCAGCTCCACCTTGGGCTAGCCATAGTTCTGATAAGAGCTGTTCTTGAAAAAGAGCAGTTTCTGTCAGAGCTCTCAGCCCCACCTACCTCACAGGGTGTCTGTTGTGGGGAGGGGAAGGGAAAGGAGTTTGTAAGCCGCTCTGAGACTCCTTTGGGTAGTGAAGGGCGGGGTATAAATCCAATCTATTCTCCTCTTCTCTCTCTTTTAAAATGATTATGGAATTACAGGTAATCTGCAGTTCCAACCTTAATCATAGTAGCTAAATAATCTATCTAACTGGATATTTCTTTTTCCTTTGCTGCAGATGGAGGGAGGCAATGAATAAATACCTTATTTTCTAATGAAGGATAATGATCCTACAAGAGGATATCAACTACTCTTCTATATCCCAACTGGACAATGGCCACTTCTTGTGACACAGAGAACTGCACTATAGAGTACGAGTTAGATAAACATTTATTTCCTGCTCTTTACAGCATTTTGGTTGTCATCAGTATTCCCACCAACATCGCATCTCTTTACGTATCTTGTTGCCAGGTGAAGAAAAAAAATGAACTGGGAATCTATCTCTTCAGTTTATCTTTAGCAGATCTGCTATACACCCTAACCCTGCCTCTATGGATTTATTATGCTCAGAATGAGGACAACTGGACTCTTCCTTCTCACCTTTGCACAGCTTCCGTTTTTCTCAAATATCTGAATTACTACACCAGTTCAGGATTTCTCACCTGCATTTCTATCGATAGATATTTAGCCGTGGTTCACCCAATGAGGTTCCATTGTGTGCGTACAAGAAGAGTTGCCTTCTTTGTTACTGTTATGGTTTGGGTCTTTGAAATTGTATCAAACTCTAAGGTTCTATATGAACAAGACACATTTGAAGAACCTTTTAAAGGTAGTAACCATACAAATCACACTTTTTGTTACGATACATATCCTCTAAAAGAATGGCAAGCCAATTTTAATTACTACCGGGTCTGCATGGGATTTGCAGTCCCTTTGACTATCATGCTGTTCTGCTACCAAAAAATATACCAGGCTGTGAAAAATAATCAAGCCACGGAAGACAGGGACAAAAAGAAAATCAAGAACTTATTGCTGACCATTGTTGTTACTTTTTTTTTATGTTTCACTCCCTATCACATTGTGCTGCTGCTTCGTAGTATCTATGAACCGTGTGATTGCTCCTTTGCTGAGAGAATGTATGAGCCCTATAGAATTACAACTGCACTGACAAGTGTAAATTGTATACTTGACCCACTACTTTATTGCTTTGTGAGCGAAGCTGGAAGAACAGATGTTCAGGACATGTTCAGGGGGTGTTTTTCTGTAAGCCCTAGTGATGTGAAACAGTCACAAAACATTGCCTTATCCAGTAGTTCACAGGCCAGAACTGGGAAAGTTCCAGAATCAGCAACTTTTCTGTACAATAGAGAGCTGAACTTGACAAATGTGGGTGAAGAGGCCTCCTTCTCCCTGTAAGGTTGGGTTCAAAGTACTTTGAGGCAGGCATCAGGAGAATCTTTAGATTAAAGGAAGGGTAGCTTCTACAGATTAGTCATTTTATCATCAGGCATCCCCCAAATGCTGCCACTCTTTCTGCCCCTTCCCTTTAAAGGGAAGAGCCAGGACTGGCACTGTGTCATCAAATGCCAAGACCAGACACTTATCCATGTATCCCTAATCTCTTGCATTATGTGCCAGATTACACTGAAGTAAATCTCTTCAGGAACCTATCTGGGAGTGCGATCATACTTACCAAAAGTGGCGGCAACGGTGCGATTCGCCCACGGAGTAACGGGGCACGATCAGACAGACACATCTGTCTAGCGTCCCAGAGTCGTCAACGGGGCGTTGTTTCATGCCGCAGGAGCATCGAAAAAAGCCACCGACTAAAACCTAGTAGTATCCGGAACTACGGGGCAGGCAGGCAGAAGTCTGATCGCACAAACGTGCGTCAGTTCACCCTGGGGCAAACAGCCTCGCTTCCGGCCGCAGTTTCTCCCTTGTGTGATTGGAACCTGGGTTAAATAGTAGAGTACACATGGATTTAGTTTCACTCAGTGCTCCAGTATGAAGTGTAAGGTGACCCATAAGCAGAAAAGCAATAATAAATTATTTTTATACCCTGGTTTATTTATTTTTGCACACTGTTGTGTTAATGGAAGCATAAAGGAATTAGGTAAAGGTTCCCTTGCTCGAAAGCCAGTCGAATCCGAATCTAGGGTTGCGGTGCTCATCTCCGTTTCAAAGCCGAAGAGCCAGCGCTGTCCGAAGACGTTTCCGTGGTCATGTGGCCGGCATGACTAAACACCAAGGCGCATGGAACGCTGTTACCTTCCCACCGAAGTGGTACCTATTTATCTACTTGCAATTTCTTGCTTTCGAACTGCTAGGTTGGCAGGAGCTGGAACTAGAGACGGGAGCTCACTCCGTCATGCGGCGCACTTGGGTCTTGAACTGCTGAACTACCGACCTTCCACAGCCTGCAGTTCAGCGTCTTAACCACTTGAGCCACCGCAGCTTCTATAAAGGAATTACTATAGAATTATTATAAAGTTTCTAAATAAATAAATCTACTATTACATCTGTGTGCCAACTCTTCCTCTGTGAATCAGCACAGACCACCACAGAGCACCAGCAGCTAGGCCTGGCAGATTGATTGTGGCAGCTCCTGGCAACACAAGTAGGGTTGCCAGTGTCCAAAGGTCTACGACACTATATCCCCAATCCCCACCAGGCTCCACCTCAAAAATCTCCAAGTATTTCTCAACCCAGAGCTGGCAACCCTAAACACAAGTCTGTGGCCCATCATGTAGCCTCACTACCGCCATAGTGGCCAACCTCCAAGTGTTTCAAGCCACACATGGACCACAGTGACTAACCAAAGGTTGCACCCCACCAAAGGGAAACACGAGATTAACCCTGAGTAGGAGGCTTAGAGCATCAGCTCCATGTACAAAAAAGCGACCTGACGAAGCATTGGGGGAAATAGAATATGTACCTAGGAAATCCGTTGTCATATGGCAATTGTCTGGAAGCGCCGCACCAGCAGCAGCACTGCATGACATAAAATAAAGGAACAAAAGAAGAAGCAAGTTTGTGGAGTATAATTGGAATAGAATCAATTTTTTCACAGTGGACATTGGTGGGGTGCAACCTCCAAGTGGCGGCTGGAGATCTCCCAGTACTACAGCTGCTCTCCAAGCAACGAAGATCAGTTCACCTAGAGAAAATGGCTGCTTTGGAAGGTGGACTTGGTGGCATTATAATCCATTGAAGTCCTTCCCCTTCCCAAACCTCACCTCCTCAGACTCTACCCTCAACATCTCCAGGTATTTCCCAACCTGGAGCTGGCAACCCTAACAGCCTGCCAACTGAAAGGGAAATGCCTGCTGTTCCATTTTGTGTCTGAAAATAAATGCATTGTGGAAGCCCTTAAACGACATTAGTGAATGCTGAGAGTAATCCTAACAAGATTTACTAAGAAGTATGCCCCATTTTATCCAACAGGGAATTCTCCCAGGAAAGCATCTTTAGGATTACAGCCTTAATTACGGTACTTTGTTCTTCATGGTGTATAATCCAGTAAATGATGTAGCAAAAGTTAGATGGGTGGTTGCAATAGGCCCTTTCTACCAACAGGAAACAGAGAGTCAGTATAAATGGGCCGTGTTCACAGTGTTAAGCAGTGGCATACTGCAGGGCTTGGTACCAGGTCGGGTGCGTTTTAACAGCCAACATGGCTGTTTTTATTTTTATTATTTTCAAAGCAGCTGCTGGTGGGAGGCCCGCCATAGCAGGAGGCCAGGCAGCCCTACTTCCCTCCCCAAACCTCACTCTCCACAGACTCTCCACACACACACACACACACACACACACACACACACACATCTCCAGGAATTTCCCAACCTAGAGTTGGCAGCCCTGTACCTTTGGAACATCCTTCCCCATGCAGCTCGCCTGGTACTTACCTTTCTTTCTTTTAGGCACCTGGCAAAAACATTCTTTTTTACACTGGTGTTTAACTAAAGAGTTTTACCTTTTGAATTGTTTATGGTTTGCCTCTGCACTGAAGATTCCTTTATTTATATTATTTTAGGCCGTTTTGTGCGTATTATATGCTACTGTGAGGCTCTGGCTTATTTTAATGGCATCAGCCTAGTTTTTAACAGTTGTATTTTAATGACTTTGTTTTATTACCTTAGTTGTTAAGTAACCTCAAACAGGACTCTGGAGAGGCAGCATATAGATTTTCTAAATAACTAGATATTAGGAGAGTCTGTTATTACAGACTTATGAGTAGAGACTGCTCCAGAAACTGGCAACCCTCAGCCTGATTGGTCCCCTTGTACACAAGTGACTTTAAAAGAAAAATCACCAATACACTACTATTTTTGTAGCCTTATCCTCTGTTGTTGGTTTCTTCTTTTAGTCTCCAAAAGTAATTCTATTGTCTTATTGCAAACAATAGCATCAGTGACTGCTGGATCTACAACACATAATTTCCTGTGGTATTTTTCTCAAGTTGTATCCTGACATTGCTTTCCCTCACACATTTTAACTCATGGGTGTTATTTGAAAAGTACTGGGTTCGCAGCATGGAGGACTCGGAAGACAACATGCGTTTGCACATGTTTATTGTACTTAACATCGAACTGCAAAAACGGCCCTGCAAGGCCAACTATATACACACCCACTCAGCACACCCACAGTCCCATTGGGGGGTTTGAATTTCCCACCATAGTTCCTATTGGTCCGTGCTGAGGGAAACTAGGATCCTCTGTTCCTACTGTCTTGAGGAGCCAAGCTCCTGCCTGTAGCCGCGGACTCCTGCTGGCAGTCCGCATACATAACATTATTGCTTCAACTTCACCCACACGTTGCCATAGTAACACAACATAGGAAATGGAAATACATCCACCTGATGCTATCAAGGATGTGGTAACTTAATAGTGCAGCTTGCAACAAAATAAGCAGCTTATGATAAAGAGAATTTGTGAAGCATTTTGTTCTTTTGCGGTGTATGCAAAATGTCTTCAAGAATTCGGCAGCACATGGCTGAGAGAAATCTCTCTAGAAAGTGAAGTTTGCCCCGCTAGACTGCTCACTCAGAGGACTACTATAGCAGAATAAAAGTTACAAGGATGGGTTTACTCAGAAGTAAATCATAGTTCAATCAGTGGACTTTACTCCCAGGAAAGTGTTCTTAAGACTGCACTCAAGCAGTACAATTCTAGACAGAGTTACACTGACTTCGACAGACTTAGAAGGGCATAACTCTGTTTAGGATTGCAGTGTTAAATTCCCAGTTGAAATTTTACCTCAGCCATGGACTCTTATCCCGCACTGAGCTGGGTTTATGCACAAACTAAGTAAACTACACTTTAGGGCCTTAGATTATGAGGAGCCTCTAAATTTTTAAAAAACCTAAAAATTACTAAATAACCATTTAGAGGGTTGTGTGGGCTCTTAAATTTGACATTGCCTAAGCCTTCTACATTAATCTAGCCCTTGTGTTATTTTCCTGTGCTATACAATACACACCAGCTTTTCACAGGAAAACGTATACTTTCGATGTATCACCCCACCCACAGTTGTTTTTTAACTTATCTTTAAACAAGTAGCGGAATCATTGCATCTAATCTGACTCTGAGCCATAGATCCTACTTTCTACAAGAAGTTGCTATCCACTGGAGAAGAAATTATGAAACTGAACTATTTCTGACATTTAGGCAAAGCCTATGTTCAGACCACTTGTCTGGATCACCTCTCCTTTCCACAGACACCAAACATTTGTAGGGCTGGATCCACACTGTATCCAAACTTGGGAAGCTGGGAAAGCTAATGTTGAATCATCAGTTACTTCATTTTCTCCTCTGCCATTGGCTCCTAGTAACCCTCCCTTGATTAATACCATAAATATATGAGAAAATCTGGACAGTATTACTCCCCTGGATTCTGAAAATATACCAACTACCTGGACAAGGGTTCCATTAGAACCAAACATAATAGTTGATAACAAGCCTAAAAATGGTACACAAGCTTCTGAACAGACTCAAAGCTGATTAACTCTGAAAATTCTTTCTTGGAACCTGGCTGGTTGGTTCTCATGCATTTCATCTGATGAGGTCCAGGAATTTATTAGTAATTATGATATTATCATGCAGCAAGAAACTTGGTGCAAAGATTATATCTATTTCCCAGATAATGTAACTTTTGTTAGTCCTGCCATACCTAGTTCTAGGTGAGGATGACCTAAAAGTACCCTTGCTTGTCTGATCTCCTTTTCTCTTGGGTGTCACAAATTGGAACTGATTTTAGATTTAGATTATACAAGTGGAGACCCGCAAGAAACTTGAGGGATGGTTATCTCATTCGTCACATCTTTGCTTCCTCTCCTCACCCCCTACCTCTCTCACACTATTTCTCCCCTCTGCCCCCCTTTTCTTACTCTCTATTTCTCCTCCATGCATGTGACTTCCTCTCTCTTTCTGACCTGTCATCTTTCTCTTTGTTTTTCTGCCTCCCCACTTCATCACTCTTTCTCTCTCTTTCTGCCCCCACCCCATCATTCTTTCTTTCTGCCCCCATCACTCTCCCAGCCTCCTGCCTGCTTCCTCCCCCACTCCGTGGTGGCAGTGCGCCCAGCCACCCACCTGCTTCCTCTCCCCCCACAGCAGCAGTGGCCGCTGTCTGGGAATCACAACAGATCTCCAAGCTACAGAGATCAATTCACCTTAGGGCTGCCAGCTCCAGGTTGGAAAATTCCTGGAGATTTGGTGGTGAAGCCTTGGGACAGTGAGGCTTGGGGT